ATTGAATGTTCTCCGCACTGAAACCATAAAATACAATTGAACAAACGTATTACCTGAAGAATATCGCAAACTAAGCATACCTTTAGAATTCTCGATACACAGTCTCGTGTACTGGAGATAAAAATGTTTTATTCTCCCCCCCCCCCTTTTTCGTAGTTTTGTCATTTGCTCGCTTTGAAATCGTTGAGTTTGTTAATCAAAAATTCGTTGAAGTGTTCCAAAATATGAAATCGGTAATAAAACCAATTTCAAATTCCAAATTAGGGCTTCCAAATGCCCATATTCGGTGGAAGATTACGTTATTCAAAACTTGATGGCCCTAGGAACAGTTGTTTTATCAAAATTCGCGAAACATACATACATTTATGTAGATCTTCATTATATAATTTCCTTAAATATTTGCAAAGAAGAGGAAAGGTCTAAGAAACTATTGCTTAAAAGTACATTTGATACTGTAGTTCCAGAGTAAAAAGTTACACCATGTATAAACAATAATACAATACTAAATAAGTAAATGTTATCGCGTAAAAACGTAATGTAAAAATTGCAAAACGAGATAAACTTAAAAAAAAAAAGGGAAGATTAGAAAAAACTAATAAATTTTAAATGATGCACGCAAATAATCAAAAACATTTCAAAGACAAAGAAAATATTCACAAAGAATGGCAATAAATAGTAAATTAGCTCAATTCGAGGTTAAAAATGGCCTTATCAAGGGAAAAGGGTAATAAAACTCGAATCTAGCTAGCGCGTTTCGTCAAACGAAAACAATTGAGACTGAAAGCGGAATGTCATTAATAGAATTATCAAACTAAATTATCTTAATATAGTAAGTCTCAATGGTTTCGTTTCTTTTCCCGTCGCGCCTGTAATTTAAAATTGCATATGTAAAACTTACTATTTTTGAAAGAAAAAACTATACAATTTTGTATATTCGCCTAGTTAGGCGAATATACAAAATAAAATAAATAGCTTAAAAGCTATTAGTAACAAAATTACACAATTTTAAGGGAAAAACCCAATGAGCTCAAAGAATAAAAATTTTGTTAAAGAGAAGAATAAAATAAACATAAAAATAACGTCTCAAAATGGGTCCTGCTAAGACCAAAGGCAAAGAAAAATAAAAGAATAAGACAACATATGTGCATCCATAGCGCGTCAATACGCAAAATTCTTGACCGCATAGGTCTCTCTTGTCCGTGTACTGCTTTCTACTTTTGTATTTCCTTAAATACACACAGGGCGATAATATTTGGTGGCAGCAATTTGAAAAGTGAACCGACATTTAGTTTTCAACGTAAAATTCCAAAACTAAATTAATAGCTCTTCTGGGTTAATGGCTAAAAACCCCTGGGGGTTATGGGCTAAAAATTCGAATTATCATTGTTTATTTAATTAACATATTTCCGAAATGTTAAGTTGAATGGGACTTGCAAATATCTGGTTGCTGAATTAAAAAAATCTTAAGTGTAAGATTTTCGTTACCACCTCCCAAAGAGTGCTTTTTTTATGTAAGAGTGGTTTTTAGTCCAAAGGGGCTTTGTCCTTGAAAGGACTATTGTTTTTGTTTTGCGATTTTGCTTCAATTCACTGCAAACGGCAAATCACTTTTCAAACTGTTGCCACATAGTATTATCGCCCTGTGCTATATTTAAAGAAATTAAACAATGAAAAATTTGTATGTATATTTCTCGCATTGTGATAAAACAACGGTACATAGAGCAATCGAATTTTGATTGACCTAATCCTCCTACGAATATGGGCATGTGGAAGACCAAATTTAAAATTTGGAATTTGTTTTATTAACGATTTCCTATTTTATAAGACTTTAATGAATTTTTGATTAACAAACTCAAGGATTTAAAAGCGAGCAATGGCAACGTTATACAGAAAAAATCTTATATCTACAGCGCGTGAGTCTCGTATCGGAAATTCTAAAGATAACTCATTTTAAAACTATTTTGCGATATTTTGCTGTTAAACTGAATTTTATGGTTTAAGTGCAAAAAACTTGATATTTAATAAATAAATGTAACCCACAAAATGTTAAAAAAAAAAGTCCCTTTGGAACGTAATTTAAAATCTGAAACATTTTGGATTTTTTTTTTTTTTTTTTTTTTTTTTTTTTTTTTTTTTTTTTTTTTTTTTTTTTTACCTGAGTGCTCAGAGCATCTTCAGCTCGCTCCAAATTTGAAAGGGAGGCTATTGAAAACATAGTAAAAAAGACCTGTAATAAAATTTTTTTTTAAAAATCCGAAAGTTGAGAACAGGAGAAAATATGGCGCTGTTCTAATCTAGACAACTGGAAACCTGTATAGAAAGCAGGTCAAATCTGAAAATGCAAATGCTCGGTTATGTAAATCACACCAGGTTTCTCTTCAGTCTATAACGATGAAAACGTAAATTTCTTCGTAAATTTTGAAATCGTAACAACTTACGTAAATACCTTTTATCAATTAATGCATTGAAAGACAGGTGACAGGTGACGGAGGACGGGGACGCCTGATGTTTAACAGAGGTAAACAGGCATATGTCCCGCGCCCTCCCCTATCTAGTGGCAGCAACTCCCAGGAGCCTCATGAGGCCACCTTGGGAGTTTATTGAAGAATTTTACGTAATTGTACATGGCCATACAGAGTCGTCTTAGGAATACATTAGTTTTGATCGATAGGCGGATGATTTGTTACATCTTGGTTTTTAGACACTGTTAGACACTAATTACAGCATATACATACACATACAAGTACATACAATTGCACATATAAAGATACATACAAAACACTTGTAAAACACATATAAAAGCACATATATAACACATATAAAACATGTAAGCACATTATATAAAAATAGAAATTAGATACTAGTTTGCACACACTTATACAAGTAAAACACATACTTATAATGAAACATATTTAAGCTAATATATAGTATACACTTACACTAAAGACACATTTAGATCACATATCACATGTAAAATGCGCAAATAAACATACATAAAGCATGCAGGCACACTGTAGAATATTAAATTTTGTTATTAGATGATATAGTAATTACAGATGAAACTTTACTCTGGAGAATACATTATGCAATACATTATATCAGGTACACAATACTTATTTAATTTGAATAGATATGCAGCGCTTTTTATATACATAATGCTTACAGAATTGATACACAATGTAAAAACAGATACACTATGCTTGTAAAGCATTAGATATTAGAATTTATACTGCGCACAATTGTACAAACGAAATAAGACACTATACTACTATATACAACACAGTTATGGTGTACAATTATGCAAACACAATTATACTAACGTATTAAAACGCAGAATAAAACACTATACTACGGTATATAACACAATTGTGCACAATTATATAAACACAATTATACTTACACATTAAAAAAAAAAATCTATACTATTGTATACACACAATTATAGTACGCAGCACCATGCATGCTATGTTGCCAAGCTATATATTTCTATGCGAAGCTATGAGATTATACAGGTAATGCAGATACAATATTGATAGATATAGATGAATTATACATTATGCATATGTCAGATACAGTGCAGATATAATACAGATAGTTTGAGTAATACAGATATGATGTGCAGGCAATAACTGTAGTGGAGACACTATGTTATAGAATGCGCTGAGCTTATTTTATATTATATTAGATGCACAGTGTTTATTGGATTAAAGTAGGTACACAGTACTTTTTATATACACATTGCTCACAGAACAAATGCACAGTGCAAAGTCAGATACACAACAGGTTGTAAGGTATTGCAGGTAATGCACACGCAATGTAGATAGTTGCATAGTAATTATATGCTTTATATACAGCAGATACTGTGCAGAATTTGACAAATTCAGTGCAGAATGAGGTGCATATTTATTGCAGATACTTTGTATAACGCGTTTATGTATAATACAGTACTGGCAATGACTGTAGGAGAAACACTATGTTGTTGTAGAATACACAGTGCATATTAGTATTGTAATAGATACATGATGCTTGTTATATACACAATGCTTACAGAATGGTTACACAATGCAAAGTCGGATACACATTTGTTTTACACTGTTCAGTTAAGCATGGACTAGCATGGACATGCAAGTAGTAACCTGTGATTAGTCAGTGTTGAGCTCTGTACACTGTTGATAAGTTCTGTACACGATTTGTCAGGGCGTTCCAATTACTCTGCGCACAGTACCTTATACACTGATATATAACTTGCAGTTGTTGTAATAACTGTGGTTATTCCAGGAAATACTTCTATAGATATTTCAGTCGTTGTAACTACTACAGAGACACAATGCAGGTAGCAGTCTGTTCATAGTCAGTAGTTTGCTCTATACGCCGTAAGTGAGTACTGTACGCAGTAAGCAGCTATGTCTGCAGTTATGTTGCAGTGCAGTTATGTTATAAGCGCAGCACATAATTTAAACATATTGTAAGTTGCATTCAGCTGATTGTCAGTATAAGAGACTGTCAGAATTCTGTTGATGATTTGGTAGTGAAAGCTGACTGTGGTTGCTTTATGAGACGCCTTAATTGACGCTAGTTTGGTTGGCAGATATCTTGCCCTAGGTCGTTGACCTGCCTAATTATTTGGCAGATCTTTTTGACCGCTGGTGGGTGCTTAATGATGAATCGTTTATATGATTCTATATTTGTGGCTGGGAGTGGTAGGTGTAAGTTGGATGTAAGGCTGCATTCAAATATGTAGTGGTCGGGGGAGCCAGTTGCCCCGCAGACGCATATATCTGTCATCGAAATTGCATGTCTTTGAAAATAGGATGGAAATGGGCCGTGCCCCGTGATATAGTATGTCAAGGGTGCAATGGCCTGGAGACGTTCGTTGTCTACTATTGGGTAGAATCCATGTGTCCTTCTTCCTGTATCACAGTTATCCCACTCCTGTTGCCACTGTTCTTTGCTTAGTTCTCTTAGCTTTCGCTTTAAATACGAAGTCGGGATTGGAGTTGTCACCTCTTGCGCGCGTCGTTGTTGAGTGCCGCCTCGTTTGCTAACTGGTCTGCCATCTCGTTACCCTCTATGCCATCATGTCCTTTCACCCAGATTAGTTTGATGTGTGTTTGCATATTGTTACGCAGGAGCTGTTGGATTGCTATAATTGTGGGTGAGGTATGGTGGTGATTCATGATTGCCTGTAGCACTGACATGCTGTCTGTGTGAATTTCGGTTGCTGCTAGATTGATATCCTGAGCATACTGAATTGCAGCTGCTATTGCCACAGCTTCTGCCTGGAAAATGCTGTTGTGGGTAGCGAGATGGCCTTTCCATTTGCTTTCCACTCGGTCATTTTTGAAGTGAACGAAGGCGCATCCCACTCCATTGTCATGCTTTGATCCATCGGTGTAGAATCGTGAGTTCACATGTGGAGTTTCTCTGAGAGGCGTTGGGTGTTGTGCTGTCACGACATGGATGCCTTTACTTTTGTGTGCCGGGTGCACATACTGCACACTCCCTGGTAATTCATACTGTGTTGCATGGAAGGCGGTGCCAGCAAAGTTGGCATCTTGTTTTAGCCTAATTAGGCGCTCATATGCAGCTTCTATGCTGGCCTTTATGTGCAGGGGTGTTAGTCCCGCAAGGACCGTTATTGCACTTGATGCCGTTGTCCTATATGCCCTACTTATGTTTAGAGCAAATGGCCGTTGTATTGTTGTCAAGAGTTTGATCTTGCGACTGCTCATTGGTTGCGCCCATATAGCCGATGCGTAAAGAACAATTCTCTCCGCTACCGTTAGATATAGCAGTTTCTGGATGTGAGGGTTTTGCCCCCAGTTGCTTCCCTGGAATTGTCTGGCTTTCTTAGCTATATTTGCTGTCTTGACTCTGATGTCTTGAAGGTGGGGCAGCCATGTGAGACCCTGATCCCATGTAAGTCCGAGATACTTTATGGTTTTTGAGATCTTTAGATTTCGTCCCATCAATTTTATACACGGCCGTCGCGTTGGATTAGTTCTCGGTCGTGGGATGACTACTGCCGTTGACTTCTGTGCGGAAATGATCAATTTAAGTCTACTGCATTTATCTGAAAATATGGAACAGGTTTCCGTACCATTTCGTTCGAGTTCTTCTCTTGTGCGGCCAGAGACTAGCAATGCCGCATCATCTGCATATGCTATCACTCTGGTATGGGTAGGCCATTTGATTTGTAATAAGGAATTAAACGTGATTATCCACAGTAGAGGCCCGGCACATGAGCCCCTGTGGGCACCCTCTTTCCTGCTGTTTAGTGACGACACCGTTATTATTGACTATAATTAGACTTCTAGAGTGGAGATAGTCAGTGAAGATATTAAAAAGGTTCCTTGGACACTTTGCCTCCCTGAGGGCCTGCTTTATTGCAGGCCACCAGAGAGTATCAAAGGCACTTTGAAGATCTAAAGAGATAAATGCAGTATGTAGATTGTTGATTCTGTTGTCATTTATATGTTTTCGAATGTGTTCTAGAGCATGGATGGTAGATGTGCCTGTCCTGAATCCATATTGATGTGGGCTAAGAAAGTTTTGTCGGTATAGATGGTGCTTCAGCCTGTTGACTAGCAGTTTTTCGTAGATCTTACCCAATGCAGATAACAGACATATGGGTCTAAAGGATCTTGGATCTTCCGGGGATTTGTATGCTTTTTTAAAAACAGGACGACCTGTCCTTGTTTGAATGCAGTAGGGAAGATTTGACAATGTAGAAGCTTGTTAAACAGAACTTTAAAGTAAGTGGGTCGAGCGTTGAAGGCGACCTTGATTATTGCATAATCCAGGCCGTCAGGACCTGGTGCCTTTTTGACTGGAAGCTGTCGAAAGATTTGCTTGATCTCTTCCATTTCAAATGGTTCGTCGTCTGAAGTCTCTGGGATAGTGGTGTTTCCCCTTGTGTGCCTTTGCTCTGGCGTGTCATCGTCCGGATCGTCTGCTGGGAAGACTGTGTTTAAGGTTGTGGCTGCCGTGGATTCTGCTATGTTGGTGGTAATGGGTTGGTTGGCAATTTGGGCATAGAGTTGATCCGGCTTAAAGACCTTGTTGGTGGCAAGCTTGTGTAGAATTCCATATGGGTTGTTATTTTCTGTGCAGAACTTACGCCAGCTGGTTATTTTGGCTTTAAGGATATTATTTTTATAATGCGCTCTTTCCTCCCTAAAGGTTGCTAGTATTGCATTCTTGGTGGTTTCGTTAATGTTGGTGCGAAGGCGACGTCGTAAAGTAAAGCCCTGCACTTTTGCCGTTGCTGTCGCAGTTCCTTTGTCCACCAGGAAATTCCTTGCAAACATTTTGCTGCTCTGGTGGGCAGGTGCTGATCGCAAATGCTCCGTAGAGTGTCAAGCAGCCGCTCGGTATAAGTGTTCAGATCATTGGGGCTCTTGTATTGACTTAGCTCCTGCTCTTCTTGCTGTAATGTTAGAGAGAAAGCTTTGTTAAGTATTCGCAATTTGTTACCCGGAAGTTTGTATCTTTTAAAGATGCTGATCCTTGTGTCGCTTGCAATATTGAAGTGTATGTAGCGATGGTCCGAGCAGCTCTCTTCATCTGCTACCATCCAGTCTTGTAGGTTATTGGCTATATCATTAGTAGTCACTGTAATATCTGGCCATCCGTGGTGGTACGTGTTGTCAAATGTGGGTGGCGCGTTGGGGGTGTTTATGATTTGCAGATTGCTGGCCAATATGTAGTCTTCCAAGACTTGCCCTTTTGGAGTGGTAGCTGGGTAACCCCATATGATGTTGTGGGCATTAAAATCACCGCCTATAACATGTGATGTTGTGGGGCACTTTGTCTTTACTTCTTCGATGCTCATGATGGTCTGGTGGATATCATCCGGTGGGGGACTGTAGATGGAGGAAATGATGATCTGTGAATTTGAGAAGCTGAGGAGGATTGCTACATGGTCTCGCTTCTGTGTAATTATCAGCGGGGACCAGAGCGGGTTGCAGCAGGCGATTGCTGCTCTTGGTGGTGGCTCATTCTGTTGTGCTTTGCGCTGAAATATTTTCCAACAGAGTGGCAAACAGGCGACTTCCCCTGCTCTGCAGTAAGGTTCTTGAATCAATAGTATATCTGGTTGATGGTTGATTGTATGTTGGATCAATTGTGACGCGGCGGCTTTTGCTCTTTGTAAATTAATCTGGATGCATTTGATAACTTCTCGTTGGATGTCTGGTGTTTGCATTATTTGAGTGGGCGGCTGTGGCAAATCACTCGTATCTGGTACTGCGTCTGATATTAGCGATGTATCTTCCGTACGAGGGGCAGTTGACATCATAGGCTGGATGATCGCAGGGGATGCTCCTGTTTGTCCTATAGTTATAGTCTGCGCAGTTGATACACGCGGGCTGCTGCGCTCGGCATTCACGGATGTCGTGTTCTTCTGTGCAGTATGCACAATAATGTTTGTTGGAGCACTCCTTTTGAGTGTGGCCGAGTTCCTGGCATCTGTAGCATCGCTTGGTGTTATAGAAGTCTGCAATTCGGTATGCCCGCCAGCCGAGGTAGAGTAGAGTCTGGGAGCCTGCATGATTCGCTGGTAGACTGTAGGTTGGCAGTCAAGAACCCATTTAACTGTGTTTCTTCTATCTCGGAGGCGGTAGAGGATCTTGACTGTTGATTTGGTAGCATTGTGCTCCGATGCCAAAGCTCGTTCTATTTCGTGTTCCTGGACTTCATGTGGGACGCTGTGGATAGCAACTCTTGGAAGTCTTGTGGCGGGAAGCTTGGTCTCTACCAGTTCTTGTCCCTTTGCACTGTTTAGCGTATTTTTTAGCTTGTCAAGGTCCTCCTTCGTGTGACAGTCAACGGCTAGCCCTCCTTTTTGTATGTTTCTGACTGTGGATACCTTTACTCCTATCTTGGGGAGTGGGAATTCCTGGCTGAGTTTAGCCTTAAGGTCTTGACTGGTGGAGCAGGTGGCTTCCTTAGGATATAGTAATAGTGTGTGCCGGGGCGTAGTTATGTGACTAGTATCTTTAGCCTTAGCTGCAGGCAGCCGCGTAGGATGGACCTCTGATCGGATTAGGCAGTGGTGCTACAGCGAACACGTTATGCCTCTGCTGGTCTGTTTGATACTGGTTATTTGCATGTGCTAATTCGCAGCAGAAGAGAGTGGAGGTATTGGTACTTGTGTCGGCTTTTGTTGGTTTTGCTGTGTATTCGGGGCCTTCTAGGGCTAACTTCTGTAGAGCCTCTAGTGAGGTAAGAATACGTTCTCTGAGTTCTGTTCGGAGCAGAAATTTACCACCTCGGTAGGTAGTTGTTACTCTCTTGATTTCCTGGTAGAAGAGGTCTACCTTTTCAGCATGAGCTATGTCTGAGTTTAAGATAGAGGTCGGGTCTAAGGCGCTAGACGACGTTGTTATATCTTCGTCAGTAGATAGAGTAGATTTTAGTACCATGATATAATGCAGACAATGACAGTTAATATGCAGAATTACAATAAAAAGCGTACAGTTACATAATCTAAGGCAATACAGTTAAATATAAGTGCGTGCAATGAAAGCGCTGCCAACAGTTAGCGTGCACGGGTACAAGGTGACAAGTAAATGAGAAGTGAATGGAATTTACAGAAAACTCATTAATTTCCGTCACAAATGCTAAATGTACGGAACTGAATGCTGTGAAGAAACCAGCCACAGAGCCTATTTCTCATACAATGCATACAATACACAGAATAATTAATAATAAAATAAAATCTAAACGAACTTAACAAGGTATGGAAACAGAGTACAATAGATGGCTATCAGTAAATAAGCACAAACAAAAATTTACAGGAAGATGAAATTAAATAAGTATAAAAATTATAATAATGATGATAAAGTAATAAAAAAAAAGAAGTAAATATAATAGAATAAAAGTTAAATGCACAGTGAAAAACTAGAACAGGGTTAAAAATTTGGGTGTACTAGAGGCTGGCTAAGTACCGTGCAGCTAAGTTCAAATTGTAAACAAAAGCACGTGCAAGACTTATAGCAACTGCACTCTACTATGCGCGCATGCGCTAGAAAAGCTTGACAAGGAGTTGTGTCCGACAAGTTCAAAAGGCGACCTGTCCTGCTGGACCGACCCTCCGCCGCTGTGTCGTAAAAATGAGCCGGGTGAGGATACCGGGGAAAGAACAAGGTCACACAGGAAAATTGCAATTAAATCTTACGGCACTCAGTCACTAATTAAGCTAGCAGGACGAATGATACACTAAAAGAAAGGTAATCTAAAAGCCTACCTTATCGTCTAGGAATGGTGTCGATATTCCCAATTAGACCGGAGATAAGGGCAGATTAATCCAGAAGTATGGCACTTTTATGTCGCACAATAAAAACACTGTAATAAATCGCACAAACACTTCACAATCACAGCACTGGTATCAATGAAGAGATCATATCTTCCACTTTCCAAAGGTACTAGGATTGAAATTGGATGCCTGTAGGTGCCAGAGAAATCTTAATAGATGTAAACACCACAAAACGGCACTTCACGGGGTCACGGTAACCCTCAGCAGATATCACGAGGTCGCGATACGAACAATGACTTCTGCTTTAAAGACTTAATTAATCCACCACTAATAAACGGAATCGCTCCAGATGCATATCAAATTGCTCAGCTTTTGAAGAACTTTAAATTGATATAACTCTTGTGTAAACTATATCAAAACTAACTTAAAATAATAAGGCGAAAAGCGAGCTCGCGAAAACACGTCGTACAGCATTGATGCCGCGTCCGGACTCTCCATTGAAAGACATGATTAAGAAGTGCAGTTCAGTTATGTAGACTACGGAAATCGGTGCCAGAACAGACAGTTACTGATGTCATGACTGCAATCATCGGCGGTACCCATGGGAATATTGCCGGTAGTAGTAGCAGTGGCAGAAAATTATCAGAAGAATTGGATTTCTTCAATGTTTCAACGGTGTGATAAATCTTTCAAAACGTTATTCACTTCTAC